GGCAATGGCAATGGTAAATGAAGCAGACAGCATTATATTCAGAAGAACAAATAATGGTATAAACTAATATTGATAAAAATAGATGAGAAATACATAAGCAAGAGCTGCATAAAGCTAGATGAAGCAATAGTTCAAAGATAGTGTTGACCGTCCTGTCCAATACACTCATAAAGTAAGAGGGTAAACTAAAACCACCCAAAAGAGATAAATTTAAAAAGTCTACATGAACTTCGGTTTAATACACAATGCATTATATGAACCTTGATTTGATGTAATTGTATACATGGGATTTTGGGTTTGATTCAACTTTTACAAAGAACTAATACAATTATATGGGTAGTTTATATTTTAGGTCAATTAAAATGCATACATAACTCCGTCCGCTTCAAGTAATTCTCATAAGAACAATTGGTTCAAAAAGCATACATAACTCTACACCAAATCCTAATGTTGATTGTACTTCAAATGTAAACCATGTATGCATTCTAAGACAAGTTTTTGATTAAAAATTATTTAAAGGAATTAGCATCTTAGTTATTCATACTAAAAGTTCAGTGATATAAATTGATGAAATTAAAGGATTGTGAAATACATGCAAATTGATGTTAAGTTCAGTGATGTAAAATTGGTTATAGATGTGGCACAATGTTACCTTTACTTATTGCATGCACAAACAATTAAATTAGATTTACTTAAAATGAAATATCTGAATCTATTAGACTTTTAAAATACATACAACTAAATCAAAATTTCATGTATGTAGTTACACCAAATCAAATTGACATATCAAATTGTACATTAAATCGAAATTTCTTACCATAATACCAAAATTTTTTATGGTTACCAACTAAAGAGTCACAACAAGTCTAGAAAATCACAGTAATTCTTTATGCAGAGCAGGCATCAATCCTAATCAAGTAACATAATACAGTAACATAAGAGCAAAACTGATTCCATTTTTTCCTATTGATCCAAACATAAGAGCAAAATACGAAATTAATGCCTATTGATCCTGTTTAAACCACATTGCCACAACCTTTCTTGGTAATAGCAAAATAATCTAACGCTAATTATAGCTTTTCAATCAACACCTATGCAAGTTCAAAAGCCGACAATATTGTACATCACACTATACCTCAAAGCTTACTTAGAACCAAATTTTCCAAACAAATTAGCACGATACATACAATTATAAGTTAGGGACTAATACTCAACCAGACAATAAAGGTGAAAAATCATATTCTAATACCGAAAAAAGAAAGAAAGGAACTAACCTTTGTACAAAAATCCAGCTAATTTAACTTATCATTGGGAGCGATATGATTGGGATACATCACTGATCCATATTTATTCCCACAAGGCCAGTCTCTCGGTTGCATCCCGTACGAATTCGCTTCATGCCCATTCTGCTGATGATGGTACCCTCCTTGATGCATAACCATGTGTCCGTACATCGGCATTGCTACAGGCACCAAAGGTGCCCCATAAGGCATCGGTATGGGCATCCCAACATGCCCATTGCCATTCATACTACCACCAACAAGACCACTTCCTCCTCCTCCTCCTCCTCCACCGCCGCCGCCGCCGCTTCCACTCTCACGAAGGCTCTGAGGCACCGGCGTTGACGCAAACAACTGATCGGAAGCCGATGGTCCTTCGTTGCTTAACCCTTGCATTCTTTTCAAGTAAAGCCGGTATTTCTGTAGATGACTGGCGACGTTCTCGCGGGTCAAGCCTTCTACGTTCATTAGCTGCATGATTGTTTTGGGAACCGCGTTTTTTATGCCTAAATGGGCCACCACATCAACAAATCTCTTATGCAGCTGCGGCGTCCACACTAAACGTGGTCGTTTCAATGCCCTCGCTGATGGATCCTCCGAATTCTCCTTTGTCCTAACCGCTGAATCCGCTTCCTCTGCAATACCAGCATCCGTCTTCCTCATATTCTTTGGTTCAGATCCAGAACCAGACCCCGATCCGTCACGTTCCACTACCATCGGATCATTAAAAGAATGGAGATTGTTATTATTGTTGGTTTTATTGTTATTGTTAGTGAAGAAGTGGGTTCCGCTTGATCGGAGGGAGGAGAGTGTATCGTGAGAGGCACGGTTGACATCGAGAGCTGTCCGACGAGGCTCTGGCGAGATACTGAAAGCGGAGGCGAGTTCCGGTGGGATTAAGGATTGAGATAACGGAGTTAAATCATCGCAGTCGGGTAATCCAATCTCCCATTCGAGAACTCTTTGGTCAACGTCATCTTCATCGTCAACGAAGGCGGTGTTGGCTGTTGCGGTGGTATCGTCGTCTCCGCCGTTAACTTCAAATTCATTCATCTTCACTTCATCTCCCATGTTTTTGCCTCCAAATCAGGGATCTTATTAGTATTTTTTGAGCGATACTTCAAATTTCGTTGCTTGAATCGGAAAGAAAAGATTAGAATCTGAAGGGATTTTCAGATATTTGCGTGAGAATCAACGGCTGTTTGGGACGAAAGAAAAAAATCTTTTTTTTTCTGAGGGAAAATAAAGGGGAAAAGAGAAGCAAGAAAAAAGTACAACACCAGATTCCAGATCGGTCTGCCAACGTGGACGAGTTAGCCAGATATTTTTGATCTGCTAAATATCTCAAGATCCTAAATTTTGAAAACCAGGGTTTATCCAGTAATGTACCGACACGTCAGTGATTTGCGGGTCGTACGGGTGGAACCGGTCGCGCTGGATCGTAGATGGTGCGGGTTTATTTACGGAAATGGACATATTTCGGTTGAGAGGAGGCGGCTAGTAAGTAGAGAAGGTGCACTTTTGAGGGTATTTTTGATAATAGAGGCTTTGAGGGCTTCTTTCTTTATACCGGACTAACCAATAGGAGAAGTGAATGTTGGTGAACAGCTGGGATGAATATTTTTATGGACATCGTGGAATATTCTGGGCCGTTAGATTTATAATGGGTTTATCCCTTTTATGATAAATGATTTTAAAATTTTTATTATTACTATAATAAAATTCATAGTGAATTATTTAACCTTAATAAAATAATTCGAATTAAGCGATTTTAGTTATTAAATGATAATTGTTATCTCTAATGATTTTATATTTGAATATATCATTAATAGAATAATTAAACTTTTATTATAAAGTGATTGAGTGTATATTTCGAACTAAAATTATTTTATAATCTCTTTAAAATAATAAAAAATATAATAAAGTATCATATAAAAGACAGATCCCAACTCAGTATAATTAAACAAATGAGATATAAGATTAATTAAATCCGCATAATTTGAATTCCAAACTCCCAGCTTCTTAAATAAAATTATTTACGTATTTATGAATAAGAAATATTTTAAGAAAGAATGCTATAAAGCAATTTTTTTATTCCAATTCTTTAATATAATAAAGGGTTAACTACATGAAAAATCATTTGTGTTTATGTTTTGTCTACTTTTGATAACTGATTTAAAAAACATAAAATATTGTCACTTTCGTTTTTATTTAATTAAAATATGGTCACTCAGAGTTAACTGTCGTTAACAGCAGATAAATATTTTTTTATATAATCATACATTTGGTTTCTGTTATTTATATATTCTCTCAATTTAGTCATACTTTTAATAAATTAAAGTAAATTTAATCCAATTTTATAACTCGGAGTTGACTTAGATTTTTTTTTGAGTCGAGTCAATTTTTTGAGTTTTTGTTTAAATTTAATTATAAATATTTATAATATTATAATATTATTTTATTCCAATTTAAATGATCTTTTATAACCATATACAATAGTGTGTATTTCTTCATTTTTTTCATATGTGATATACATTTATGGTACAAAGTCGAGAGACTCAATTCAAACTTGAAAATCAATCTACTAATTACTAAATTTTTTGAGTTATTCGAGTTGTATTTTACAACACGGTTTGAACTTGAATTTTTTTAGTCGAGTCGGGTTTATGAAATTACAACTCAAAGTTAATTTGAGTCAAGTTTTCAATAGTCGAGTTGAAAAATTCAGTCCTTCGAGTCGAGTCAAATTTCGCACACCCCCTAAGGCCATGTGTCACCATTCGGTTTGAAGATTAACTTTCATAAACCCGACTCGACTCGAAAAAAAAAGTCTAAGTCAACTCCAAGTTGTAAAATATGACTCGCCAACTCAAATAACTCAATTTTTTTTGACTTGGCACGATCGAACGCTCACCCTATGTGACATGACATGTGACATCATTCGATTGGATGATTAAATTTATTTTAATTTAGTAAAAGTAGGACTAAATTGAGACAATATGTAAATAATATGGACCAAATGTGTGATTATATCAAAATATTTAACTGTTGTTAACGACAATTAACTTGAGGTGACCACATCTTAATTAAATAAAAATAAAAGTGACCATATTTTAATTATATAAAAGGCATAATGCAATAAAATAATCCTAACGTTTGACAGTAGTATCAAATATACCCGTATCATTTTTTTGACACATTCATCCACTCAACGTTTAATTTTGGGTAAAAAATCATCCTCGATGGATAAAAACACTCAGTCAACTAACGGTGAACGCCTGATGCTGACAAAACATGTACACATTGATGTGGAGGTCGACAGAGCTCATAATAATGTGGCATTGCCACACCAAAATTTTTAAAAATAAAACAAATAATTATTAAGATTAATATTATTTATATTTAATTATTTATGATTAATTAAAGAGTGTCACCTGTGATTAATGTTTGTTTAAAGAAACCCTTAAAATGATAATAACTTAGAAGGGGAATTGAACCTAGGTAATTACTGTGGAATGACACAAGTTTTGTCACTAAACCAAGCATATTACTTGATTAAATAATATACTAAATATTATTTAATAGATATTTAATTTGAATTTAATGAAAAAAAAATAAATAAAACACGTTTAGAATCTCATTTATACCTGATTATTCCAAAAACTCATCTTCCCACTCTCGATTATTTCCAAAACAGATTGGGGTTTAGTGGCAAAATTCATCTTTTTGCGTTCTTTGTCTTTTCCAAATCTCAGAACTGAAAACCCAGATTTTGTTTTTGATTCTTTTGCTGAATTTTGATCTGGGTTTTGTTTAATCTTGTGATTTTCTCATCTGTTTCGAGATGGCTCCGAGTTCAGTTGTGTATATGCTTGGTCAACATCAGGAGTTGATCGTCAGCTGACTGACGGTTTCCATAATGATACGGGTATATTTGACACTACTATCAAACGTTAAGGTTATTTTATTGCATTATGTCTAAATAAAAACGAATCTTCGTCTGCCCCCGTTGAGGTATCCATAATCATAGAGGACATTCATGTGTTGAAGATAATTTGTCTGTCTGTACCGCATTCTGAATTATAAGTATATGTTGCAGCCAAAGCAAGATTCTAGGACCGTGGATGGGAGTGTGAAGGCTTCTGAAGATGAACTAACTTGTACTATTTGCCTGGATCAAGTTGACAGAGGGGATCTTGTTCGGAGCTTGCCATGTTTACATCAGGTTATATTTTACAATCTCATGTTTTCCTTTGTCATCATATTATATATATTGATAAGAATATCATCTTTGCAGTTTCATGCAAGTTGTATCGATCGGTGGCTGCGGCAACGAGGGACGTGCCCTGTATGCAAGTTAAATGGGTTCGAGATAGCAGGAAAACCAGGAGAGCGAGTCAGATGATTCAGACATGGTTTAAACTTGACTACCCAACTAAGTCATATGAATCTGTATTTGCATTAAAAGTATGTGAAGCATGTTATGTTTGCAGTTGCATACAAAAATGCACCCCCAAAGTGGAGTGTAATATCCTCTAGGATTGGTGTGCTATCTATCTGGGGCTTCATGTAATAGAATGTGGGAGGGTATAGGTTCATCATTCTCAACCTTGTACCTTCAGTCGAAGAAATTCCATCGCATCTAATATGCTTTGTATCCCATCTTTATTCAAAATGTCATAACGTTTTTTTTAAAACGAAATTATCGAGTTTACAAGAGTTTAAACAATTATGATTTTATTTTAGAAAATTTATTTATTTTTGTTTAATTTGAAATTTGGAGTTGTTATTGGCTTTTGGGTTAAGTAGATTGAATATCTAAAAATATCTTTTTAAAATTAGGTTAAGTAGGTCGAATACATAAAAACATTTTTTAAAATAATTTTAAGAAAAATCATTTTAAAGACAAATTAGTTTGTATTAACCGAAGATTCGTTTTTATGAGTTCAAAAATCAGTTATATGTGGGAAAAGATTAGTGCCCTCATAGTGTCCAAAATTAGTACATGATCACTTATACATTGTGTAGTGATGAAATTTGTAGATTTGAGTCGAAATTAAAAGTATGACTCTTTTTATTGAACATAGATTAATTTATTAAGAGATATTCCTTATTTTGAGTAGAAATCGCGCGATTCACATGTACTACAATGGGAAGGTTATGTCATCTATCTCTTCTCTATATGTATGCGTGCTGAAACGATTAATTCGACAATCGATCAAACTTAATTATCATTAACCGAATTAATATATTATTTCTTTAACTGTTATTCAAACTAATTTAAAAAAATATTAATTGAATAGATCAAAGTTCGATTATTCCGCTTGGTTAATCGAATTAACCAAATATCTTTTTTAATTTTTTAACTAGATTAATTTGATTATAATTGAGATATTTTTAATTTGGATTAAAATTTAATTAAGTATTGATAATTTAATGAATTAACTGTGGTTAAAAATTTATTGGATTTTAATTCTTAATGGATTTTAGCTTAAAATATAAATTTAATATATATAATATATATAATATTTAATAATTTTGGTTAATTCAGTTAATTAACTGATTTCAAACCGAATTAAATGTTAACCAAATATTAAAAAAATAATTGTTCTTCGACCGAACTAATTCGGTAGCCGACTGAATTAACCAAATTAATTCGGTTCGGTCTGTTAATTAGGTTAAAGTCAAATAGTGAACACCCCTACCTATACGAGAATATTCCCTCATTATTTATTTAGAACCTCACATTAAACATGAATCGAATATAAATTAAAAATAAATTAAACATACTAAAAAACACATTGTCATTATTAAAACAAAATAATGATTTCTCTATTATTATTTTTATCAAAGCATATTTGATTATTTTTAAGTTCACTTTTCGTTTGAATGTCATTTTGAATCGTATTACTTCTAACAAATTATACTGTTTCACGCCCATTCTACAAGATGTTCTTGAAAATTCATACGAGTACAAAATAAACTTAGTGGTTATTATCAAATTTTAAGGGTATTTTACCACTCTAAGCAATAATATGCATTATTATAATACACTTACAATAATATGAGGGCTAAAATATAAAAGTACTAAAGTTAGAAACTAAGAAAGGAGTAGAGAACACAAGTTAAAATTCATAATAACATGAAATGAAGGTACTGGAAGTGCAATAAAACGCTAAATATGTGAGACTAAAATAAAATCCTTGAAAAATTAAAAGTGTGAAACACTAGAAATTAAAACTTCATTCAAAGTCTAAAATAAAAATAATACAAATAAATGAAAACTTAACATGCGAATAATCCAAATGCTAAAAAACCGTGGCCCTAACTCTAAACCTAAGCAAAACCACGACATTTAAAAGTTTTTTTAACAAAACTTTACTTAAAATTAAAATCTAAACTAATCCCCAAATATCTCTGTCGCCTACCCCCTCCCCATTCTCTTCTTTCATTCTTCAACATGCAACAAACAAGATGGAGACTACTTTAGGTCATCTCCAGTCCTCATCTCTACTTTACAACATTTCTATCTCTATTCAAATGATGAAACAGTAATTTATCTCCAGCACTATCTCTATATTACCACAAACTCTACTTTATTCATAATATTTAACTATTATAATATTGATTTTGCAAATATAAAATAAAACATATACATTTCTAAAAAAATATCAAGATAAAAAACATAAATAAAACATTCATAAATAACATTGCGTAGTTTTTATGTTTCAAAAAATTAGTATGTTTATTTATCTAATTTCAATGTATTTTTATCTATATTGCAATTTAATCTACTTGAATTTATTATATTATGTTTAATTTTTATTTTATTGTGTAGAAATTACAATAAAAAAACATAAAAGATAGAATAAGAGAAAATAATGTAACAAAGAAAAGGAAAAGAAAAAGAAAATAACAAAAAGAAAGTAAAAAAAATAATAACAAAAACCAAAAAACAGAAAAATAAAAAATATAATATGTAGCGCAGCTACAGTGTAATACTAGTTGTAGCGTACAACTGTAGCTGTCGCCACAATCCAACATTAAAGTGGCAATGGGCTGGAGTTGAAATTCATCTCCAAAGTGGAGATTGCAATCACTCCAGCGATCGTTGGAGTTGGTCTAAGGTCGCTTTACACAAACATATTCATCTTTCATTTTCTTAAAAATAAAACAAGTAAAATCAAAGGCCTCTCTCTCCTTCGGCATCGAACCCCAAATAAGTATATCTAAACCCTATATACAAAATGGTGAAAGCTTACCATTGATTCTCCAAGGTTTCTTCGATTTCGATAAAGATGGAAGCTTTTTCTTTTCTCGAAAAACATGTATGCTTTTTTAAGATTCTCTATTTTCTTTTTTCTCCACTGATTTCACTTTTTGTGTTCGAAATATGGGTCTCCTTTCGTTTTTGGTTGTTGTGAATGACTTTTTTTGTTGCTCTCATTGTTTTTGGTTTTTGATTTGATGATGCTTCTCCTTCTTTCTATTCTTGGTGGATGGTTGTTGGAATTGACTTTTTCTTCTCCTTTTGTTTTTCGAATCTTCTTAGTGGATTTTGTTGGTTTTGAAAGTTGCTTCCTTTTCCGCATCTTTGATTTAGTTGCATGTATATGGTGAGTTTCTTACTGTAGATGAGGCCAAATATGACAGAGGAGTATGGCCATAAAAATAGGGTGTTGCTCGGTTGGTGAGGAAATTGTGGGTTTTTAATGCCCCAAATTTTATGGGTTAAGATATATATATATATATATAGATTTGATTTAATTTTGGTGATTTTTGGTTAGGTGAATTGTAGCTGAATAATGGTGGCTCGGTGACAACGACAGTAATAACTATACCTAGCGGCGACGGTGGGAAGTCGAGGAGTGCGTGGAAGGCTTTGGCAACGACGGTAGGTGGCTAACCCTAATCTTAGGTTAGCCAAGATATTAACATAATGGGCCATTAGGGTGTGTTTGTACTTGGGCTTGTTTTGGATCTTAAACTTGGGTATGTTGTATTTGATTCAATTTGTAATGGACCTGCAAAAATAAATATAAATAATATTAGGCTTAATGGATATATATATCCATGTAGTAGACTAAAATTATCAATTTTGTTCCTATCGTATTTTCGCATCAATTTAGCTCTTGAAATTATTTAATTTAATCAATGTCTACATTTGATCGTCTTGACTAACAGAACCATTAGTTTCTGATGACCTGGCCGCCAACTATTTCCACGTGGGATATCTTTGCTAATGTATAAACCAATTGACATGGCCAAATGAAAATAAAATATAGATTTACACGGGCTAAATAAACAAAACAATAATTTTATTCCTAATCCTTAAAAACATGAAGAGGGAAAACAAATTCCCAAAATCACGATTGAATGAAAACTCTAGAATCCATCTTTTACCAAAAAAACACAATTGAATACTCTCCTAAAATCAAATCGGCACCCTAAAATTGAGAGAGAAAGCAAGACATCTACAACTGAAAGCTAGACATCTGCCAAAAAATTGAAAGCAAGCGAAAGAGAGGAAGCATATTTGCAAATAATCGAGAGAGAAAGTTTGAGGGTTGTGTTAAAGCAACCAAGAAGCGGTAAGTTTTATGATTTTAAGTAGTATTTTAGTGTTTTGGGTTTAGGTTTTGTTGATTTGAGATAGTTTTATATGTTCGATTTTTTAATCGAACATCAACAATTTTTTTGTCTTCTTTTGGTTGATATACACTTTCACACACAGTTTTTCATGGTCATTTGTTTTCTTCTTCTTTCTTTTTCCTGCCATGGTCCCATGCTTTTGACCCAAAATGTACTTAGATTTTTTCCATGGTCCCCATGCTTTTCCATTTGAAAAATACAAAGATTTATTGTTTTTTTCTTTAATAATTTAATTTAAGATGATTAAACCTTGATGTTATTAATAAATTGTTAATGTTTTTATTAACATCAGGTTGTTATGTTACATGATAGGTACCGAACCAGAAATTTTTGTGCTACAATATCATCATGGAGGTAAATGTGTAGGTTTACCTAAAATTGAGTATATAGATGGAAAAGTTGAAAAGTTTAAAGTTGATCCTGCTATACTATGTTATTGGGATTTAATTGGGAATATGAAGGATTTAGGGTATGCCTCTGATTCATGGTTTTACCATAAGATACCAGATGTTAAATTAAACAACAATGCATTGGTGATAGTGGTAGATGATGAATTGGTTAGGCAATGTTTAGGGATTCTGAACAGAAAGGGTGTAGTAAACTTTTATGTGGACTACACAAAAAAATATGTGGTAAGTGAAACTCATAAAAGAAGTAAAGAGATAGATGAGGGTATTGATTCTTCTAGCCAAAACAATGATGACATTGCTGAGGGTAATGGTAGAACTAAAGGTGTGGCCACTGTGCACATTAATGACCTTAGTCTTGAGGAGGAAATTGCTCGAATTGATGAAGCTATTAACACTGGTTTTGAAGAAGAAAATGCTGGAATAGAAAATGTAAATAATGTGGTCTGTAATAAAACTGTAAACATTGTTAGAATTGAAGATATTATCAATGATGATGACGCGGACCTGTATAAAGTTGGTATTGCTGAGGAAGAAATATCAGTGAAGCCTCATAAATTTTTTTGGGTATTGAAATAGCTTCTGATATAGATCAAGAAGTTGAATCAATTAAGGAAACATCGAGAAGTCATGAGAATACATATAATGATAGTGATAGTGAAAACAATTATGATGCTATAGTTGTTGAAAATGATGCAGTAGAAGCAGATAGAATGAAAGAGAAAACTGGTAGATTGGAAGTTCATGAAAGTGATTACTTAGAGTCAGATGATCCAGGAGAATATGATGATACAAATAATGAGGATGACAGAGTATGTGGAGCATACAAAGGAAACATTAGAGTGGGGAATGCATATGATGAGGCTTGTAAATTTCCTTTGTGGGAAGTTGGACTTAGATTTATAGATCACACTTGGTTCAGGGAATCAGTGAGAAAATATGCTATTGCGAAGTGTTTTTCTTTAATATTCATCAAAAGTGAAGCAAAAAGAGTGAGGGTGGTGTGTAGGAAAGGTTGTCATTGGTTATTATTTGCCAGCTTTGATCGTAGGTTTGACTGTCTTATTGAGAAAACATATAATCATGTTCATGAGTGTTTTAAAACAAATAAGAACAAAATGATAAATTCTAAGTTTATTGAGATAAGACTTCGGGATAGAATTTTATGTGACCCAAAAATGAAAGTTGATACTTTGAGAGAGATGCGCAAGAATGAGTTAGGTGCATATGCTAGTTATAACCAGTATCAAGGAGCTAGAAAAATGGTGCTTCAAAATAAAATGGGTTCTTACATTGATGAATATGCGAACCTGTGGGGTATGCTACTGAGTTGATTCGAAGCAATCCTAGAAGCACAATCTCAATTCAAGTTCATAGAGATAATGAGAACAAGGCAATATTTCATAGGATGTATATATAATTTGTTGATTTGAAGAAAGGTTTTATATATGGTTCACATTTACAATGTTAAATTGAATTTGGTTCATATTTTTAAAATATATATTAATTTAACTTATTATGCTTTTTAGGTTAGAAAGAATGGTGCAAAACCTTCTTTGGAGTTGATGGGTGCTTTCTGAAATCAGTGACTCAAGGTGTACTTCTAGTTGCAATTGGGAGGGATGTAATAACCAAATGTATCCAGTAGCATGGGCAATTGTGGAAGGTGAATGTAAGGAATCATGGAAATGGTTCCTCAACAAGCTAGTATATGACTTAAATCATCCAAATGGTGAAGGTTTGAATTAATGTCAGACCAAAAAAGGTATAACAAACAATTTGTCTTGTTTAATAATGATTATTATATTTGGATTAAATATGTACTAATTATCATAGTATTTATGTTATAGGGTTTGGTTCCAATATTGAATAAGTATTTTCCTCACATAGAGTATAGGATGTGTTCAAAACACATTTATGATAATTGACATAAATAATAGAAAGGTGTTAATAGGAAGATCCAGTTTTATAACTGTGTCATGTTGAAGATTTTGATGACCAATTGAAAAAGCTTAAAGAAATGGGTAAGCAGTCAACTAATGATATTTTGGTTGTTCCTATATATCATTGGAGTCATACATATTTCTCTGTAATGTCCAAGTGTGATACGATCAATAACAACATGGCAGAAGCCTTTAACGGATGGATTATTGAGGCAAGATGTTATCCTATTATCAACATGTTTGAAGAAATAAGGAAAATGGTTATGTAAAGAATGCATGTTTAGAAAATTTGGAAAGATAAGTAGCCAACAAATATTTTACCCAAGGCTACAGAGAAATTTAAGAGACATGAACAAATCCATCGAGTGTAGTATGGTTTAGAATGGTGATAGGGGATTCAAGATGATTCATGGTGCAAATCAACACATAGTGTATCTGTAGGGAATGAGAGTTGTCTGGAATTTCATGCTACCAAGCTATATTTGCAATGTACCATGAAGAGAAGGACCCTCACACCTATATATCTGAATGGTACAACAAGGAAAAATACACAACAAGCTACAGTCCAATCCTACAACCAGTTAGGTGAAGAAAATTCTGGCCAAAAAGATTGGATGACCCAATTCAACCCCCTAAGTTGAAACCTATGCCAGTAATGCTAAAAACGCAAAAGAGAATGAGTAAGGATGAACATGCTATTAAGAGCAAATTTGGCAAGTGGAGTAGAGTTAGATTGTAAATAACATGTAGCATGTGTATGCAAATGGGCCATAAGAAGGTTAATTGTCCTAAAAAGGATTCTAACCAAACTGTTGGACAAGTAAACAATATTTATTTATAATAAACAATTATTAACACATTTAACATATTTTTCTTCACATTTATGATATGACTATCAATGAGGGAGCAAATTCCACTGGAACTGTGATAAAACCATGCCAACTTTCACAGCCTCTTCCAGAAACTGTCAGGTATAAAATAAATCTTAAATTCTTAATTACTTACAATAAAATTATCCTCTAATTTGTTATCAATTTTAGGATATCATTATCAATGATGGATTAAGTACCATTGAGACTGGAATGAGAGTAGTTACATAGTCACAACCTCTTCCAGTAAATTGTCAGGTTTAAAAAAAGTTCACATTTGAATTTTTGTACCAATATTCTCATCTTATATTGGTTTAATTTCATATTAGGTTAACAACAATGGTCCTACAACTAGAAGCATGAAAAGAAATCTGATAGACAAAGATAAACACACTGTTGTATACAACAAAAGAAGCAAAGTGGTTGGTATGGACATATATACAACCTTAGAACTGGAGAAGAAATTTTAAATGTAAGTTACTTCATTCGCCATGTTTCATATTTATATATAATAAACTACATATGATGGTTAACAATTATTTTTATAGCCTAGTTTACCAAATGAAAGAGTGCTTACACCTAGCTCTTTAAGAAAGATTGGGTCATCAACTTCTCAATACCGACATGCTTGGAAAAGGCCTGGCTTGAAATGGAAGGGGAAGCAAGCAGTGACTACAAGACAACTAAAGCAACAAAAACATGATGAACTTAGGCAAAAGAAATAAAGGTAAATGGAAACAACAAAACTACATTTGAGATGAAGCTTCAACATGTATTTGACCCGAAGTTGATTATTTTGTTTTGAACTTATTGACCAAACTTTATATTTTTTACTGGCATACTAATATTTTGTTACTTCCAAACACTAATATTAATTATTGGTCAAAAATGGAAAAAATTGTTTACAGTTGACATTTCAATCAATAGATGTAATATTTTTTTAGTGTTTTTAAGCTTTATCTAATTATTGTATATACATTGCGTTCTTTGTTCAAATAATATTTGTTAACTTCCTAAAAATACTACTTTTAAGGACTTTTTACTTAAGTTATTGTTTGTTTAAAAGCCCATTTTAGTCATTTTAGGATCATGTAGTTGCATATAGTTGCATTTGTGGTGGTATTACTGTTTTATCTCTTAAAGGTGTTGTATGAGAGAAAGGTGCAGTTGTATGTGGTGTGCAGGGAATAGCAAGCAAAAGGATTCTTTGGGGAGTAATGCCGTGGCATCACACGTTGTTGAAGAATATTGAAATGCCTTGGCATTTCTGGCACAGAAAATGACAAAAAGATATAGTTGTACGAGGACAGCTAGCTTTGCTCGTGAAATGATGGTTGTAACAGCCTGCCAGAGGACCACTTCCACCTGGAGGATAATGTTAATGCATATGGTGTGATTCTAGGGGTATAAGAGGTATTTTGTACCCAATATCACCCAGCAACCTCATCATTACCCCTAGATATTTTTATTATATATGACACTTGACAATGGAGAGAAAGAGATAGGCATACGGGACGAGGAGAAAAATCCCATTTTTATTTTCTTTTTCTCTTTCTTCTTCCTTGGGTGTTCCTCCATTGATAAAGCTCCAAAGAGTGGTGAGTTAGGCATACGAGAGGAGCTAGAAAGCTAAGATGCTTCGTGGTGGCCGAGTAGACCTCCGGTGGCGCGCGTCAAAGGCTTATTCTCACTTCCCTTTGATGTTATTTTTATATTATTTATGAGTTGTTGGAACGAATATTTTCATGGCTTGTTTTATGGATATTTCGAACCCCACCATGAACTAACTTATTTGGTGGTGGTTGTTTTAATGGTTGTTAAACTTTATTTTAATGGTAGATTTATGTTTATCTTGGGTATTTGCTTGCTTTGCTTATGAGTAATTCACCATCTAGGCTTGTAAGAGGCATGAGAGTGTCCATTTCTTAGATGAAGGTTAGGTGTTCGAGAGAAAACTAAGCTAAAAATACTTATAGTATTCGAGAGAAATGCAAGACAATATCCTCATAAGCAATGGGCTATCGTGTTTTCAAGAGGCTTTGAACCGGCCTAGGAATACTATATCCTAATCCTTTAGTACTTGAGAGCGACTAAGATAGGATTTCAACGACTAAAAAGGGTGTTTTTATTAATAGTGTGGGTTTTCATCATCATTGAGTGAGAGTAGATGCCATGGCATCCTATTCTGTTAGGTTCCTTTAACTAGAGATAGCGGGAACACTTTCGGAAAACCCTATCGAGTAAGTAAAGATTAGATAACTTAAATCTGCCTTAGAGATAAGTTTAGTATCCTTAAATCAATCCCTACCATTCATTCCAGTGTAAGCTTGTCGTGTAAGGATTATCTACTTATCATTTATTTGCTATTTATTTACTGTTTTTACCATTTTTCATTACCTTGACATTTCTTCATCTTCAACATTAAACATCTTCTCTTGCCACTACATTTCCATTTGCTACACCATCAGACCATCATTCCATATCCACTAGCATACATATTTCCATTACCGTGGCATTGTATATATCAATACTAACTATACATAGATAGAGTAGTGCTTTGCTTTGGTTAGACTTTTGTAATTTCAACCAATTCCTGTGGATATGATACTCACTCATCACTTTATTACTTGAGCAATTGTGTATACTTGCACATTATTTGCGTATAATTTATAGTACTCATAACATACGAACAATTTTTTGGCGCCGTTGCCGGGGATTGGTAGCCTGAAGTTAATTAGTTTTGCCATAACATTTTTATTTGTGTATAGTTTACTTTATATTTTTGTTTTATTATTTTTTCAGGTTTATTTAGTGTATGCCTAGAAGACATTCTGAAGAGCCATTGGAACCGATTGAACTTGAGATTGAAAGACTCTTTAGACAAAGGAGATGTACTCAACGTGCTTGAGAAAATATGTATCAGATTGGAAACCAAGGCATTGGTCAAGATGACGGAATTCTGAATGCATCAACATTAGACAATGCTGAACATGCTGGTAGGCCGTGTTATTCGTGATCACTTAAATCCGATGATAGATGATCTGAATCCTGGGATTGTGGCACCCGAAATTCAAGCTGTACATTTCGAGATTAATCCAGTCATGTTCAACATGTTAAATTTCATTGGGCAGTTTGGGGGTATGCAAAATGAAGATGCCAGGCAACACATTCGAAATTTTTTGGAAGTTTGTGATTCTTTCTGCCAAGAAGGAGTGAATGAGGATTTTCTGAAATTAATGTTGTTTCCGTATTCATTGCGTGACTGAACAAGGGCTTGGTTAAGTGGTATACTATCTGGATCGATGGAATCTTGGGCTGATCTTTGCAAGAGTTTCTTATTGCGGTACAACCCACCAAACATGAATACTCAGCTAAGAAATGATATAACATCCTTTCAATAGGGAGATTACGAATCCATGTATGAATGTTGGGATCGTTACAAGAGTTTGCTTCAAAAGTGTTCAAATCATGGTTTTCACTATTGGACTCAAGTAGTTATGTTCTATAATAGAGTCAATGCACCCACGAGGATGTTACTGGATGCCTCGGCAAATGAGACATTGCTGGATAAATCACATACGTAGGCGTTTTCTATCTTGGACAAAATTGCTAATAATTATTATCAATTTCCTTCCTCAAGGCTTGGGAGTGGGAGGAAAGCACCTGGAGCATTTAAGTTAGATACCAAGGACTCGGTGTCCGCTCAACTCTCAGCTATCACCAATATGCTGAAACATTTACAACGTTCCACTGAGGTGAAGGAAGTGAAAGTAACTAGCTTGGCATGTCTGTTATGCCAAGGCCCATGAGTCCATCAACTTTGTAGGTAATTTCAATTGAGGTAATAACAATCTTTACTCTAACACTTATAATGCTGGATGGCGTCAGCACCCCAATTTTTCATGGGGAAATCAATGAGCAAATAATGCTAGTTAACCTACTCGGTAGCAGAATCACAATGAGCCTCAAAGTTACCAGAATACTATACCATGGCATAATACCAACAAAGGAGCTTCATCTTCAGCAAGCATGAGTTCATTAGAAGTTATAATTCAAGAGTTCATATATACTACGAAGACAATGTTGCAAGACCATTCTACTTCAATTAAGAATCAAAGAGCTTTACTTCATAATCAAGGCGCCTTACTTCAAATCCATAGCTTGTCTATGAGAGCTTTGGAAGGTCAAGTTGGTCAGATTGCTACGGTATTGCAAGAGAGTCAGCAAGGACATTTGCCAAGTGATACTGAAATCACTAAAGTGCATGAGAAAGAGCATTGCAATGTGTTAACTCTTAGGAGTGGAACAAAATCAATCAACAAGTCAAGGCTAGTGGGGCACAACATGATAATTCTACTCCCACTACTGACAATGGTGAAGCTGAATTACATGATGATAGTATTTTTGAGAAGGACAAGGATGAGGGTTCTACTAAGGCACTAGATTTTGATGCTAAGGCAAAAGTAATTCCTACTACTGCAGTTAAGGAAACCAGACCCCCACCACCTTTTTCGTAAAGATTGAAGAAGCATAATGATGAAGTTCAGTTCAAGAAGTTTGTGGACATTCTTGATCAACCCCATATCAACGTACCCCTTTTGGAAGCTATTGAACAGATATCGATGTATGCCAAATTTATGTAGGAAATCTGTACCAAGAAAAGAAAAGTAGATACTGTTGCCACAACAACAGAATTTTGTTTTTCATTGAGTAAGTTACCGCCAAAGCGAAATGATCCGGGCAACTTCATTATTCCTTGTTCTATTAGAGCTAATTTTATTAGAAATACGCTATGTGATCTTAGTTCAAGTGTCAACTTAAAGCTGAAATTGATATTCTTGAAGCTTGGCATAGGATATGCAAGACCCACCTCGGTTATTTTACAACTTGCTGACATATCCCATGTGAAACCTGAAGGGAGAGTCGAGGATGTCATAGTAAGGGTAGATAAGTTTGTGTTTCCAGTCGACTTCTTAATTCTGGACTGCAAAGTTGATGCCAAGGCACCTATTATTCTGGGAAGACCTTTCCTAGCCATTGGACGTATCTTGATATATTGTAAAAAAGGTGAACTCACCATGAGAGTGGCTGATCAGTGTGTAACCGTCAATGTGCTTCGAACTCCCAAGTATGTAGATGACACTGAGGAATGCCAAGGTATTTTTGAATTAAACTCAGTGATTGAAGAAGAAACTGAACATCTTTGCC